GTATGAAGAGAGCGCCTATAGAATGGGAGAAAATCTTGGCCAGCTACTCTCCTGATAGGAGATTAATATCCAGAATACATGAAGAATTCAGAGTTAACACCAAAAAACAAAAACAAACAAACAAAAAAACCCCAACAACCCAATAACCCAATCAATAAATGGACAAACAAACTAAACAGAAACTTCTGAAGAGAAAAAACACAAATAGCCAACAAATATATGAAAAAATGTTCAACATATCCAACAATCAGGGAAATGCAAATCAAAACTAGACTAAGGTTTCATCTCATCCCAGTCAGAAGGGCAATGACCAAAAGTATGAGTAGTAAATCTGTCCAGGTTCTGGGGGAAAAGGTACATTTATGCATTGTTGGTGGGCCTGCAGAATAGGACAACCACTCTGAAAAGCAGTGTGGAGATTCCTCAAAAAACTAGGGATGAACTACCATATGACTCAGTTATCCCACTCCTTAGTATTTTCCCCAAAGATCTACAACAGGCATACTATACCGATATAGCTGCCTCTGTTCATAGCAGCCAAATTCACAATAGCTATGAACTTATAAGGCCATGTTTTATCTTATATAAGGAAGCAAGAGTAAAAGAAAGGAAAGGGAGAAAGAAGGATAGTAATGTAGAAGATCAAGAGGCAGAATAAAGCCATGGGTGAGGGAAGAAAATGCAGGATGAACTCTTAAAAAATGTTCTGTACATATATGACAGGGAACTTCATCTTTATGCATAGGTAGAAATAACCAAATATAAATTAATAGGCCAGCAGAAGGAAGTCCAGAAGAGTGGAGGAAAGAGAATGGGAAAAAGGAGGGAGGCTGGGAAGAAAAGCAGGGAGGGAAATGAGAGGGTTCATGAACTGAAATCAAACTCCATGTATGTATGAGTTTGTTGGAAATGAACCCTACTACTAGGTATAACAATAAAGCTCTAATAAAAAAAAAATCTGATGTGGTTCCTCCCCAGGATTTCCAAGTGTGGGAAACCTCTCCAATGCCCACCAATCTAGTAAACAGAGTGACTGGCCAGTGCCCAGAGAGAGAAAGGACAAATAATGTCCTCAGCAAGAGACAAGATTCTTCCCCCAATCCTGAACCTTAGTCTTGATTGCTTCATGAAACTAAATACTTAAACAAAAAAGCATATTCAAGAAATTCAATATACTTTATCGAGAGAAAATGTAGTCATATAATTCATCCCATCAAAGTGCTAAGGGGCTAGGCGCTGTGGCCCACACCTGAAATCCCAGTGGCTTAGGAGGCTGAGACAGGAGGATCTCAAGTTCAAAGCCAGCCTCAGCAAAAAGTGAGGCGCTAAACAACTCAGTGAGACCCTGTCTCTAAATAAAATACAAAATAGGGCTGGGGATGTGGCTTAGTGGTTGAGAGCCCCTGAGTTCAATCTCTGGTAATCCCCCAAAAAATAATTTTAAAAAGTGCTAAGGTAGGGCTGGAGTTGTGGCTCAGTGGTAGCGCGCTTGCCTAGCATGTGTGACACATTGGCTTCGATTCTCAGCACCACATACAGATGAATAAAATAAAGGTCCAATAACTAAAAAATATTTTTTGAAAAGTGCTAAGGTAAGAAAAACTTATGATCAAAACCATAATATTGTGAAGAGATATGATAAAATTAAACTTCACTTACTAATTTATAACTCTTGTCAATATAGGACATTTAGAAAATTAAATATGGAAGAATTCTTCCATAAAAATAGCTATTTACAAGTAATAACCAATGTCTGTATTTAAAGGAAAGCATGGCTACAACTACCATCATTGAAACATATTTGGAGAATTCTAATTAGTAGGTTAAGAAGAAAAAAATAGAATTTCAATAATTGGTAAAAGTAAATCATAGTGTTTCATAATGCTCAAATGGCAAAAAGATAAACTAATTAAACTATTAAAATTTTAAGATTGTTATTATATAATCAGTATGCAAAACCAAAAATTGAAATTGTATTTCCCTACAGCATCTCTGCTTTTTGTATCTTTATTCTATATTCTTTCAAATGCCTTAACTTTATTTTCCAGGCTTCTTTGATTGTTGGGAAACAGATGATTAGTTTTATAATTCCTCCCCTTTAAAACCTTTTTTCCCTTTTTAGTCTATCTGAATCTGTTGATTTTCTACAAATACATTGTTATCCTGACCTACCTCTCTTTACGTTTAGAAGAGCTAGGCCCTTTAGGGGCATTAGCTCCCTGACATTTTTACTTCTTTGTTTGAATAAGGTCTCTTTTCCACAACAATAGTACTCTTTCTTGTTGAGAATGTTGGCTGGAACATTCCAGTAGGCAGAAGGATTGCTTTGACTTTCAGGTTTTTGTTTAGAACTCATAGTGGAGGAGCACAAAGACACAACATCTACACTATGGCATCCCCCACTGCATGGGCCACATGGGCATGTGCCTGTGTGAACACCCCCCCTATACTTCATTCATGAAAGGAATTTTGTTCCCTTCATTTACAGGAAGTCCCCCATGTTTGTCTGGGAAAGGTACCTCCCAGCAGCACCTGATGAGGGAATAATGGAGGCAAGCACTTGTGGTGTATCTATTCTTTCATTTAATCAAAGTGTGTATTCTACCACTATGAATTCCAAGTCTGTGTGTGTCCAATTTGACTTGTGTTTCAGATGCAATCAGTAGTTTCTAATTTCCACTTCAGGCTTTTGGTTCACTTGCTTTCTTGGTTAACATGCTGCATCCTCTGAGATTCTTGACTTCAGATATCATTGGTAAACTCATCTACCTATAGTTGCACAGTTTTATAATTCCTGGTCCTCAGTATTTTCTGATGGTGCTTTCTTTCAATAAAATTTTATGAGCTGTGTCAATATCTATAAACAAGGCAGTGAGTTTTGCCCAATTTGAACACTATATGAAGGGGAATAGTCCCTAGTGTTTTTATGACTTTCTTTTTGACTCAATATTGATCACACTTGTGATTTTATCTGTTTTTCACTTATTTTACTTGTAGTATTCCACACTCAGCAACTTATTTACACATTTTAATGTGTAGGATACTTTAATTCTTTCTAGTTTGGTGATAAGAGAAATAATGCTATGGACATTTTCCAGTGAAAGTGGGCATGCAGTTTCTTTATAGGATCTGATAGAAATGGCATTAATGACATTTCTTATGGGAAATGAAAGTAGTACAGTTAACTTTCTTTCACTTTAGCAGATGGACATTTGAGATGTGCTTTTGCTACAGAAGATATCCATTCTGTACTCACTTAAAATATTACCTACCAAAGAATTCACATAGAACAGGTATGAATTTACCCAGATAAGGGTAAAATAACAGGTCATGTTTTGAGACCTGGAAATTAGCAATATCACTTTTATGAGAAATCAGGAAAGTGCCTATGGGGAAGTTTCTGAGTTCATCTCATTTTCGAACAGAACAGAAGCCAACATGAGGGTTGTGGAGGTGGTAGTATGGGGGTGGGGATACTCCTCGATAAAGGAAAGCCTCCTGTGCAAGACCTAAGAATCTCTTCAGGGATCCAATGGCATAAAACACCAGATATTTCAAAATATTTGGATTTTATCTATAGAAGAGAATGGGGTCGAAAGAAACGAAGCTTGGAAGTAAGAACATATGAGCTAAGACTGTAAAAGGGAAGGTGGCTTTAGCATAGTTGAGAATCCTCAAATTAAATTCTAAGAACCTAAAGTAGAAAGCAGATTTTATAATATCTTATATGGCTAGAGGAGTTCTTGCATAAAATTAGATTACAGAAGGCCAGGTTTTCAGAGGAAGATGAAGGCATGCAACCAACCAAGAATAAACACTGTAAAACCAAAGATGAGAAAAGCGCAAGGGAATTCAAGCCTAAAATAAAATGAAAATGAATGCAGAAAGTTAGCACACGAGTTTTACTGTTGCATTCAAAGGAAAATGATGAGCAGGGAACACATGGGAAAGGCTAGGTTCTGAAGAAAATGGTGACATTTAAACCAATTGTGGGGCTGGTGTGTTTCCCAGTGATAGAGAGCTCCCCTAGCCTGGGCAGGCCCTGGGTTCCATCCGCAGCACTGCAAAAACAACCAAAACCAATCAAAAACACTGGTGGGTTCATAAGCTCCAAGGCCAGGACTCTACCATTTTCACTTCTGTACACCCCCCAAGTGGCACATTTAAGCCATCTCACCCAAACTACTTACACCCAATTAGCAAAGGAAGAAGCCAGAATCATTAACTTTTGCTCAACTGACTTTTCTTCGGGGCGGGGGGGGGGGATTTTCAGAATGTTACATGTAGAATCAATAGCAATATGAAGAAACTAAAATGGTCACACTTGATGAGCAAACAAAAAGGAAAAAAATCTGAGTACTACTTACTAATAACTTACATGGTCTTAATTTTGAATACAGATATCTTAAGAGGCAGTTAATGCCATTATGGAATTTATTACTCATGCATGTTCAATCACACTTTTTCCAGCACGTATGTAACCATTTTCCCAGTATATGTGTATCCACCTTTTATATTTTATTATTACATTTGATTAAATAGCAAAATTTAAAAAATAGATTTCCTACCTACCTCCCCTCCCCAATTATGTAAAACTTCATTAAACACCTTTCTTGCTTCAGGGTATTCTATACATGTGATGTTTAAAAATAGTAAAACAAAATAATTAAAATGAAAATGTTTCCCCCCTTCTACTGCATTCTAATCCAAGGCACAGGTTTTTCAAATATTCAATACCCATTGTCTAAATATTTTCCTAAGATAAAGCAGATATTTTATTGAAGTAAAAACTGAAGCACTAGATCACTGACTGAAACTGTGAAAACAGAAGAAGAAAACGTTCCTCAATTCCTACTCACCCATCAGGGCTGGAGGTGTGGTGTGTATGTGAAGGGGAGTATGTAAAACAAAATTAACTAAATGAACAGTATTTATATCTTTGTGGAAAGAAGACATTGAGAAAATATAAACTAAAGAAGGCAACGTTGAGAAGGACAAGAGAATTTTTATAATTATGAACTTTATTTTTTATTTACTATGCCAACTTTTTCAGGAAAGGACTTTACATTGGTTTTTATAATCCATTTTACAAGCAAATTCTAATATACAGTATGTACTTGAATTGGTTTTTTAAATCAATGGAAACCACAATAGTAGATATTATTTTTGTTTTAGTTAGTCTTGATTTAGAGACTTTAAATTCTCAAGGTCAGTATAATCTTGTTATGGTAATGCTTTACCAAAAAGAAAGTGGGAAGTTTTTTCTCAAAAAGGTTAAGACATATATCTTTAATTAATAACATAATTTTAGATTGGTGTCCACCATCATAATCATTTATCCAAATGTATTCTCTCAAATTGCTGCAGCAGAAAACTTTAAGGAACATATGGAAAGACAAAAGCAAAATAGAATTCAAGTGAATCAGAATTAAGAAAAATTGTGAGGCCATCATTCCCAAGGAAAAACATCAGATAATTATTTGTATTACAACTATAAATAATTTTCAGATGTGTGCATAAGCATGCAAACATAACTACCCAAACTAATTTACCAACATGAAAACTATAGTCAGCTGGAATGTAAACTGAAACTGAAATGGTGCTGCAGTCTTATTGACCTTCATTGCAGGCCTGTTTGGTAATTTGAAAGTGCATCCTAGGGCCCGGGAGGCCAGGAAACCAGCAGGACAACTGCTTGGAAACTGAGAGTGCACCTCTGTGTCTGTAACACCATCTACTCCACAGGAACTTTTGGAAGTGACAGCTATGGGGGTTATAATCTCTTTGATGAACTGAATAAAATACTAAAAGGGAAAATGGAACATCTGAAGAAAACATAGTGCTTTAATGGGAAAAGTGACATGCTGTGAATATAATTCTGTGAAAGGCTGTAGTGATATGTTCAAACAGCAACAATTACAGAGAGATTCATTTCACTAAACAAAGCTACACCCAAGAGGAGGCATTTTGATATTTCAGGCACAACTCCAAGCAATTAAGCTCATTTAAAGTGCAAATCTGAAATTTAGTTTCATATTCAGATTTTTACTTGTTAAAATACTTAGTAAGTTCCCTAATATCTATATAAACTACAATGAACAGTAGTCTATTTGCCTGGAAATATTGCACAAATGAAAATGAGACTCCAAAAGAAAAATACCAGGTGGTCTCAGTGATTAAGAAACATTCTAAATGATATAACTCTATAATCCTTTGCTTAAAGTCTTAAAATCATCTGCACCTATAACAATAATATATACTTTATTTTAAAAAATCAATATGCATCCATTAACAGCCAAATATATAATTCTGCATACTTTTTGCTCTTACACAAATATGAAATTTAACCAACCCTAGAGAACTTCTTCCACAGGACTCAGAATTCATTACTCCCATCATCTTCACCAATACCAAAAGTAAAAGTGATCTAAGTTCCTGCGAAGGAGGACTTGGCACAGAGTTGATTTACAGAAGCAATAAACAAAGGTCAAGCCAAATCTGAGAAGGTGATCTCTGATTATTCAGTAGAGCTACACTCATTTCCATTTCTGACATAACATTTTCTAAGGAGCAGACAAGCATAATATTCTTGCAGCTTTTAAGGAAAACTGCAGATATATACTTTGTTTTTTGTGTAAGCATCCTAGATATTTTTCTCTTAAATGTATTATGCTTCATAATTATATTGATGAGCCTCTTTTGTCAAGATGAAGCTCAACCAAGGTACATAAAAGCTGAACTAGTAAGTTAAGATTACGCAAATACATCAGAGAGGAAGAAAAAAGAGTGGAAAAAATATTAGAATAAACAAATAAGTGGAGTCAACATTTTTTATGTATAAAGACATTTCCTTCAGACTACAGCATGAAAAATAAATTAAAAACTTTCCCACTAAGAATAAGACCAACTTGTAAATAATATTTCATAAGGATCTTCTAGTAACACCAACTTCTAATAATAAACCAAAAACCTACTAATTCATTAGTATGCTTTACTTTAGGGAAATACAGTATGATAGCATCATATTTGCAATATATGAAATCAGTTTTCTCCTTCAAAATGTGTCCATCTATAGCTGTGGTCATTATAGCTCACCTTCACACAAAAAAAGTACTTTGCTTATATGTAGGATGACTGTGTACCAACAATATCTGGACCATGCAAAGCATTTTCTAAACTCCAGCACTTTTCTGGCACAAGTGCTGTGGTATAAAAGTATGATACTAGATTTGTGCTGCTCACCTATTATAGATATAATCTCTGTATACTGGAATGGAACTCACTTAATGGTTCTCTGATAAGAAAGGGAAGACTGCATCAAATGGTAAGAAACACCTCTTTGGAAATTTCCACTAAAGCACTTGCTGTTGTTTTTCTTATAAAGTGGCATATAATTTAACCAAAGTACATTTTTAGAAGGAACCCCTAGAATTTGAGTGACTTATCTTTTTTGGCCATCATTCCATTTGGTATACTTTTGGTCAGCTGATCAAAATAAAAATTGGCCTTGTAAGATTATTTGTCTGAAAAGTATTAATTCCAATTAAATTAGCTACACATGACCAGCCTAAAGATGACATGATTTGGGAGAACAGAATGCAAATGAACTGAATTGTCTGACAAGTGGCCTGCAGCATGATTGGGTTCATGCACATGGTTGCTTAGGGGTTTTAACAGACACCTTTTGTAGCACATTAAAATAAATAAGCATACTCCCTTTGAAATACTCTTTAACGAAACACTATTTCCCATCTACAATTCTATTTTTCTTCCAAAATCTAACTTTCAAGAAATTGTCAAATGTACAACAGAAAAGAGAAACCTAAGAAACTCAGAAATGTGAAACTATTATGAATTCCAACTTTCTCAAGATAGTCTTACTTAAATTTATAACTTTTCTCAAAATATTTAACTTGTTTTGCTATAGAAAATAAGTTTTAAATCCCTATGCATGGGACATTTATATACCATCAAAGTTTTGTGCAAATATTTCAAGTCCACTATTCCAGTCTTCAGATATTAACATAAGTCAATAAATATAAATAATTATAATAAAGACTTACTTAAAATAAATGCTGTAAATGCTGTGGAACCTTCAAAAAAGAGTTATGATGGATCCATAAGTCCTGTGGTATTCAAAACCGAATTGCCAGCAAAATTCTAGCACCAACATATGTTACAAATGGATATACCTTAGGTACAAGTTTCAAGGTATATCTCAAGCTCTTCAAATTTACTAGTAGCAATACAAGCACAAATTATATATGTATGTATGAAAAACAAGATGTTAAAGCAACATATAATTGGTTTATATATAATATTGAACATTTTCAGTCTGGGGAATTTAGTAAACAAATAAACAGTAAGACTAGCTTGCTGATTCCAGTAAGAAAAAAATAAAACTTACATAGTCTTCCCATTAAAAGTCTGATCTCCTTCTCCTTTATTCATCACAAGCTTTTGCATAGACCTTTAAATATATAAAACACTGGCCAGAACTCTACAGATTACCAACTTCCATCAACACCACATCTTGAGTTAAATTAGTAGCCATAGTCACAGGAGGAACAAGTGAAAGGAGCTGGGGTTCGCATAACCACAATTAATACGGATACAACAGGACTAAATCAGCAAAGCCTACTTCTTGCCTGCTGAGGGAAATATTATTACTTTGCTGATGTGCAGAGGGATGGTTAGCATGATTAGAGTCTTCTGTAGGCTTCTGAGATGGGAAAGCAAACTTCTGTGTTTACCTGAGACGAGTATGCTCAAATGGTATATACTTCAACCAGGATATAAAATGGAAGAGCCAAACTAGTAGAAGCTTCCACGTTTTAATTTTAAGAATTGCAGGCTTTCAGTGGAACCTCCAACATGGTAGCAAATTGCACATAAAGCTATTACAGAACAGATTGTTTTTTTTTTTAAAAAAAAAAAACAAATTGGCAGGTAATGGCTATGTACTTAATGTATCTTTGGTTTAGGAAGACGAGAATATCGATTAGAGGCCAAACAATCCCCAGAATGCAAATTGCCATTTGGATTCTGCATGATTTCTTTTTGTCGTGCTAGTGGCCTTGGGATACTTGTCTTGGACTGGAAGTTTTGAGGTTCTAGTTGGGGGCTGCTTATTTGTTTTTGTTTGAAAGAGCTGGAAGGGGGACGGAGCTTAGATGTTTTCAGATTCAGATTATTTGCCAGATTTGTTTGACTAGATGTTGGCTGAAGTTTTGCTGAATTACATGGTGTGATTGTCGGTGACTTCTTAGAAGTGGGAGTCCTACTTGGAGATGATTCAGAATCTGGAGGGGGTGCCAAAGAACTTAAGGTGGATGGCTTTAACAGCTTTAAGGATTTGGGCTGAGACGGGTAGCCCACCGGTGGAGACTGATCTCTTCCAACTCTCTTAGCTTGGTCTACTATACTTAACTGGGGAGGTGTCTGTAGAGAAGTAGGTATAAACTGCATGTCACTAATCTGATTCTTTGTCAAACGATAAGGCTCTTGAACATTCATGGTCATGTTCAAGTTCGCTTCAGAAGGTGCACTCTTAGTTACATCCATTTTGAACTGTGGGCTTGATGAAGAAGGTCGGTTTTCCAAATCATAATTGTTTTCTTGTTGCAAGCCATGTGTAAAGCCTCCATCTGGAAGGGCACTGCTCTGGTGCATGCCCTGGACTGCACATTCACTGTGGGCCTCGATATGTTGTGGCTTTATTAGTTTTCCCTGGGCGTGGTCTGTGGGTCTGGGCAGGTTGCTGGAAGGCTGTAGTACTTGAGGCTGTTAAAATTAAAAAAACATTAGCAGCAATTTATCTTAGAAATGTCACACAGAAATAATGCAAGTTAAATTCCAATTAGGGTCTGTAGGTATTCATTATGCATTAAAATGGAAAGTATGTGTTTTTTTAAAAGTAAAAATGAATTGCAATATTCAAGTGAATTCATGAGACACATATACAAGTGAAAATGGAAATAAAAAAATGATACAGGCAATAAACACTAAATAAGATCCAAAATTAAATGGGAGAAATAAAATTTTAAAGTAGTAACTCATTATAGAAAAAAAAACTCCTGCCTTAATAAATTAAGGATTTACAACCTTCTCTGCAAGAGAAAATGAGAATGATTTCCATAGCACTTTGGTTTAATCTTCGCGAAACACTTAACTATGACCTTCAAAATATTACCCATTTTAAAGGTATTTTTAATGTAAAGTTGTGTATCATGTTACCAAGCACTGTACCATTGTCAAGAATCAAAATTACCAGTAGACAAACAAAATTCAGAATAAAGATTATATTGTCAGCATATGTGAAATTCTAATTATCTGAACAAAAGTAAATTATACACTTATTAATACACTTAATAATGCTAACCTGCTTTTCAATATTCTTTTTGAGAATAAAATGTTTTCATTTTGTTCTGTCTCATTGTCACTATGGCTGACATGTAGAAAGCATATATACCATACCCAAGAGTGAACATTCATTTAGTAAAATTAAAAATTGTAAGCTTTGTGATTGAAGCTCACGGCAGAGTACTCATCTAGCATATGTGAGGACCTGGGTTCAATCCCCAGCAACATTAAAAAGAAAAAAACAGGCTTGTGAATGACTGGCTGAGAAAAAAACAAATTTGAAATTGTCTCTGACAGAACTAAAATAACAGAAGCTGACAATGGCAAAGTTCTTAAGGTTCACATGCCTCATGTGTATTTCTCTGTGCTAACTGCATAGTTACATTCCACAAAAATCAGAAGAAAAATATAAATCTTAACAGTTATCTTTCAATAGCCCAAAATACTTAAAATATATAGAGCAGGACTGCGCCTGCATTTATACAGGGGTGGCTTGTAACAAACTGTCCTTTCTTACACGTACCTCCTATTAAGTAATGTGGGCTAAATGTCAAAATAGTTTGGAAAAAGACTTTGAAACATGAACTTTTTTACTGATGCAATAAGTTTTTACTATGGCAATCTACAAATAATCTACCCAATATATCTAATTTCTCCCATAGAAAGGGGGAACCTACTTCACTACACCATTTGTGCTCTTTTACCTCCCTGACTAGCACTAGACAATGGCTGCCAAGGATCAGTGGCCAGGGATTAGATTATGTCATGGCTGGAAGTGAGTCAGAACAATGACTCAATGAGCGAAAGCCAGCCCTGATGATACAGGACTGATTTGCTACTTTAAAATTAAAAAAATCAAGACAATGACTACCTAAATTAATCCATTCAGAGATATGTTTAATCTTACTGAAGAATGTTTAAACAAGCCAATTAGATCGTTGCTAAATATTCCAGACTTTAAAGACATTGGGCATTTTCACAATCACCACAGAGATGATTAAACTATATTTCAACATGGAAGGTCCTAAAATCAACAAAAAATTAATTCAACAGGTTCTCCTTGAGATTCCCTAGAAAACAACCATCATGTTAAAGTGATTAGGAGTCTTATAAATATTAAAGGAAAAATAGAGAAGGACCATATTAAGGAAACCAAACTCTACCAAAAGCAGAAGTTGGGTAGAAAGGAAGAAAGAGAATGGGGCAGCAATAAATGGCTGCATGAGGATTTGTTTTCTCTCTTCACCTTCAAACACAAAGTATTTTTGTCTGAAAGTTAAAAATCTTAAAACAATTTCAGGTTTTTGAAAATATGAGTGACAATTTAAAAATGACTTTACTGCAATGTCTTTTGTAAAAAGTTATAAACATATACTATCAGCTCAAAGCATAAAAAGGTATGATTTCTAATTAAAGACGAAGTAATAAACAGATTATTAGAAAAACCAAACCTCCAGAAAAGGTATTGTGGATTGTAAATTCTGTATTTGAACTGTCCTGATTCCCCAACTTATCATTCCTATCAGAAAGAAAAATGATGACACAGTAGTGAGTTAGTGTTGCTTGCATTAAGTGTAATAAAGCACCATTTCAAATATTAAAGAATTAGAAAATGGCCAGGGTTTTAAAGAGTAAAAAAATGTCAGGTCTTACTGAGAGGAGTTAGATTGAACAGTTCCATAAAGTCTAAATTATCATCTAATTATATTAAATAAATCAGGGATTTTTATATGCTAAAAATAATGCAGGCTTTATATTTTTATTAAAAATCAGTTTAGTCATATAATTACCCTATCCCAAAATAAATGTCATGTTTTATTATTTACTTGAAAATTACAATGTGGGAAATCTATTCCACTCGAAGCAAAAAAAAAAAAAAAGTCTTTTTCAAACAGGATAAGAAATGACTATAATATGAGCACTAAGGAGACAACTTGCTCCATATATATGTATATGTGTGTGTGTGTGTGTGTGTGTGTGTGTGTGTGTGTGAGAGAGAGAGAGAGAGAGAGAGAGAGTGTGTAGGTATATGTATGTATGACTGTAGAAGTGGTTACCCACTAATGACTGAGTTGATATTAATCACCTGCCAGCAAGCTACTTCTACTACCTCTAGCAAGCAAAAAAGTGTTTTAATGGGTTGGTATTTACACTATAAGTACCCCCAAATTCTAAACATTCATATAAAGGCAAGATATTAACAGTTCATCTTGTGTTTCTATGACCGTAAAAGGTACACTTTCATAATTTTCAAATTAAACTATAAAGATCCCATATCCTCATGTAAATGAAATAGGAATATTAAAGAATATTGTTTTTAAAATGTCTATTATGTACCAGGTAATGTACAAGGTATGGGAAAATCTGGAGCCTATCATTATGTAGTTCTTGTGCTTGATAGACCTTCTGAAAGAAATGGTCAGGTAAACAAATGATGAAACCTCTTCTCAAGCATAACATCATATGGGAGCAAAAAAGTAACATCTGTCTAACTGGAAACATCACAAAAGGCATCCCAAAATTGCAAACTATCTATACTGAGTTTTTAAAGGGTTAGTAGGAATTTGCCAAGCAGAAAAGAGAGAAAGAAAAGAAAACTCTGATTTTTTTTTATTTTGGCACATAGTGGGGATTAAATTTATACTTGCTAGAAAAATAAATAAATAAATAAATGAATGTTAGCTATATGGTCAAGAACTATTTCTTTAGTTGTAAATTATCAAAGTGATATTTTCTGAAAAGGTCAATGATGAAGCATTAATGATTAAAGAAAAACCAATTTTTAAAAGATCATGAGAAAAAGATATCAGATAATAGGAAAAATGGTTTGTTTTCCCTAATTTGGGATTAACTTAATAATTCATGTTTATTAGGCTAGGAAGAAAGATTAATTACATGTTAATTAGAACACAAATGCCTGTCATACTGACCTATAGGCTAAGTCATCAAATTGATCTGAAGACTAGCCATTTCTGGACCAAGTAGGATGGGAACACTAAACATTCAATTTTTTTCTATTTTTAACTCTAACAATTAAATATGACTGCACATGTAAAACAATTAGCATAGTTGACATATAGTAAGTGCTCAATAAATGCCACCCATGATTATTAAAGATACAATAATGATGAATTTAAGTTATGGATTTTAATATAACAGTCTTGATTGAGGGGGAAGCAAGTTCTTTAGAAGGATAATAATAAATTAGTTGCTAAAAAAATGAGGTTTTTACAACAACAGGTACATCTGATATGGCACGAAACATGATTCCTTTACTGTCTTCCTAGAGATAAGAAATGGAGCTAGGACTGCAAAGAACTTGGAATTTTAAAAAGAACTTTCATATGGTTCTATGAGGAGCTAGTCACAGAATTGGATCTCTTAGCTTCTGGAGTCAACCTCATCTCAAGTTTGAGTCCTGAATCTATCCCTTACTATTGGGGAAATACTGGGCAAATTACTTCACTGTCCTGAAATGGGATTCATAATTTATAAAGCAAGGATGTACACCCAGTATATATACCTCCTAAAACTGTTTTAAACAATAAACAGTAAAATGCACAGAAAGTGCTTAATACAATGTCTGGCACACTACAAATACTTGAGAAATGTTATACTCTGAGCTCTGAAAGATCAGGGTTCCATTCTTCCCTAGGGTAGCAATTCAAACTCCAAGTTTACATGCATAGTCTCTAACTCTCATAAAACTGTAGGTAGAAGGTATTGTCTTTTTCCTTTTGAAATGAGTAACTGAGGTTTAAAGAAGTTGAGTACCATGTCCAAATGTTACACACTTTAGCAAATGGCAAAGCTGAAATCTGAACCATCAGAGAATTAAAAGGTAATACCAGAACTCTGTAATTCTGCTATTTCAAATTTTCATGAGTTCACAGGCTTTTAGAATATCAATATAGCCATAAGTTCTAATATATTTAAGAACTTTGAAGACAAATTCAATAGTATCATTCAGGTTACTAACTTTACTAGATATATCCTATTTTCTTCTTTGCTGATTTCACCTGTTCAGAATAAGTCTCAGACATCAAAATCAAGCCACATTGTGGAACAGTATTTCTGGAAAGAGGTGGTTCCACAGTGACTCCATGGAGAAATACTGAACACTGAGAAAAGGCAAATCAGCACTCACCCCTGAGAAAAATTCTTCACCTTCACTGTCTCATATTGCCTCAAAGATTTCTAGTACGAGCTGAAGGAAAAGTTATCAAGTTTTGTAAGCATTCTTGTCTAGGTCATTACCAAAAAGATGGTACCTATAAATGTCAAGTCCCCATTGAGCAAAAATATGCCAAAGTGTGCAAAGTAGAAATCAGGAAATGTTCTACAGTGTAAATACTACTGTGTGACACACATAGGAATTACCTAAAATTATTTTCTGAATATATACAAATTTATTGTTATAA